TGCCCAATCTTAAAAGCATTTTAATGAGCAAATGGCATTTAATCCAAGATCAACCTCTGCTTAGAGAAATATACAGAGNACCCTCCTTTCATCTCCTACAGGAGAGGAAAATCTCTGAAAGACATACTTGTTAGAGCTAAACTCTAAAGGTCACAGACCGTTTATCACGAAACAGTGGGAGTCGTGCTAGGCCTGTCTATCATTTTTTAAATCATTGCGCTACTAAATCTTCTCAGTGGTTTCTTTTATAATAGATAGTCTAACACAGTAAGTTTCGCGTCGTAACTCAGTCGACTGGCAAGACTAGCGAGTCTAATCATTAGTGGCGAGTTAATACACAACGCTCAAAATTCAGTCAACATTTTTTCTCGTTGTTCCAATCGTTACGTCTGTGACACTTTGCGAAACGATAGCTGTATAGAATCAAGGCAGTATAGAATCATGTGGTATGTCACTAGGCAGTGTTTCGACTTCATGCACCTTGCAGTTGTCTCGCAATAATCGAATAATCCTATCTTTGTAATGCAAGTACTTAGTAGGAGATCCTAAAGAGAAAAGTATTTGAGCAACTTACCTTTAAACCCCTCTAGGCGATTTGTCGACACATTTCTCGGTAATTATCAGAGCAGCAATTATACATGAAATACGTGTTTCTGTGTAAAAAATTATTGCATTTAAAAGGGCATTCGCAATTCCAGGAAAGTGTGTTTTCCTTTCTCAGTTCTCAGAAACCTCCCCGTTTTTATGCCATCTAATCAATCACCCATGTCATTGTCATTGGTCCGTTATATTTAGCCGTCAGTTCTCAGAAACACAGTCAAAAACCCTCTTCTTCCGGTTAAGGGCAGCTGACATCTTTCCGAGTAAACGGAACCGATGAATCTGTCCCTTAAATTTGGTTTACATGCTTACATTTCGAGTTCTCCCAAACTTTCACGAGCGTCTCTATAACTCGATTGAAACACGGAGAATATGTTTTCTATTTCTCCTAGAAAATACCGCGAAGAAAAAAAGAAAAACAACTTGTTCACTTCGATCATCATTACGCCATCATTACGTCAGACTTGTGTTTCTGTCCAGTTCTAGAAACAAGATTTTTAACCAATCGGCGGGCGTATTTTCTTTGGGCTATTTTCTAAAACGAAGGACGTCAATGCTCCTTCCGGTCAGAATTTGACTTCTCATATAAATCCCCGTTGTTAATATTAGGCACCTTAAGATACCAGCACGGGACGAGCTAGGACGGCTACCGGAAGTAAATTGACTCAACCGGGCATGCGCACGAGAACTCTCGGCTAACCTCTCTACCGTCCTCATCTCGTCGAGGACGCCATTTCGCCCGACTAGCCGTTGTATCGAAGACGTGAGTATTTTGCACTTGTTTTGCCCCGATAACTGTTCCAATCGCCTTTATTTTCAGTTATATTGATAGATATGTTTATAGCGTTCACAGTTTTCGTGATTGTAGCGTAGAATACTACGCTGAGATACGAAAATGTGAGTAAAAATATTCCTCGTCTGTTCGTTTGTG